GCATGCAATCAGTTATGAAATACAGTTTGAGCCAAGTGTTTGAACATTGGCTCAATACAGTGGTTGTTGTGATCCTTTTCAGTCTTCTGTTCTGGGTTACACAGCTGTGATAGCAATTATTTCAGTGAAGCCCTCAGCTTTACAACAGAGCAGAATTTGACCTCCCTTCTATCAACAGCAGCCTCAGATTAATAAAGTTATTTCTCTCCACATGCCAGAAGTAAATGTATGGACTACTCAAACATGCAGTTTATCACTTAAGGATCTAAAAATGTTTATAAAATACAGTATCAGTCAAACGTAACAGCAGCATAAATAAGAAGTCATGATTAATCAATTGTGAAGTCCTTTGGACGACAGGTTCCCAGTCAAGCCAATTCATTTTCAACTACTCTGCCCTTGGAAATGACTCAAATGTGCATCTTGTAAGGTCTTCACCATGACTTCAGTGTATATGAGAGCACTCATTCTCTACTGCATGTACCTTACAGGAGGAAGGAACCTTACATTGAAGATGACCTGCTCTATTCCTACGCCACTGTACACTATTATTTAGAACTTCATATTTACTTTATTCCAGACCAAAATCCTCAAACAGGGCTAGAGTCAGCATGTTGCTGAGAATCCTCATGTCACTTTGATTTTAAAGAGAGATGAAGATACTCAGTGTATTATTATTAACTACTTCTTTGTATTACCAGCAACCATACTTGGAGTGAACAGCACAGGTTGCAGTAGAGAAGCACCAGGAAGTCAGTCTGTATGCACATGGCTGGAATGATAGCTGCAGTTGCAGCATCTCAGTAAATAGTTGCACAACAACGGGGAAGTTAGGGTACTATTGATAAGGGAAGAAGGAAGATGGGGAGGAGAGAGCAGGGATCCTGGTGGGGAGGCAGCAATCCAGCAGGAGGAAAAATTGTTGGTGGGGGCACACAAAACCCCTGGCATGCGGCAGAGTGGGGAATGAGACACGCAGTTACTGGGGGGGAAGGGCCCCTGCAATGGGGAAATGGGGCACAGTGGTATGGGGAAAGGGGGACACACAGAGCACCTGGAATGAGGGAGGAGATGCAGGGAGTCCCTGAAATCAGGGGAGATGTCAGGGTAGAACAAGGAATTCTTGTGAGTCGGGAATGGAGGGATGCAAGGAATCCCTGGTGTGTGCAATACGCTCAGACTACAGACACTACAGAGCATGCAACCCCCTAGTACTACTCTATCATCTATTTGTAATGGTTTAGGGCATGGCAGGGCTCACACGATGCAAACAATCTGACTCTTTATAAGGTTCCATGCAGAGAAAAAGGAAAAGGAAAAGGAAGAATGATTGATGTTGTACAAGGAATGAACCTCAATTGTTCTACCATTCTTACAGAAGATACAATATTTAATTTACATGAGATGAAGCCAACAGTTTAAATGCAGATTGGGTTGGTGGCAGTGATCAGAAGTTATTACCAAGTGGAGGCCCATAACTAATGAGTTGACTGTATCACATACATCACCATCACAATTAGCCCTAATGGGCCTACCAGTTGGCAGTCTCAGAAGAAGCCAAAGACTAAATGGGCCATGGGCAGTTAACTACTTTCTCTCTTCCTAGAACTGGTCATTTCCAGGTATATTGGTGGACAGGAGGTAGTACTAGAAGAACCTGTACTGTACCCATTGAGTGGATTCAGCGTATCAAAATGCCAATTCAGTATTTTCCATGAGTATTAAATTCACTTTAATTTTGTAACTTATTTATTTTTAAGCTATTTGGGTTTTTAAATTCTTTTTAAAGAAAGGATCTTGGATCTGTTTCCCAATTTCATGTACATTTTTGAACTGCTGTGGAAAGACACCAGCATAGACTTAGAGCCTTGAACAGAAATTGTCTTTCACATGCTGGGTTAAAACTATAACAATACATCATCAAAACATATGAGCAGACATGAAAGCCCAGAGTCAGACACAGATTAAGCACATGGTCCATGCTGAGACATGCATACAGGGGTATGCAACTTTCTCTTCTCTTTTAGAAGTTGTCTTTGTTTCCTACTTCGGAAGAGTCGAGAGGATAGTGTGGTTGGGGGAAGAGCCGTTTGCAGTGGAAAAGGAAAACAAAGTCATACTCGTACTTTCAAAGTCTATTCTACATGTCTAATCATGAGAGATTTTTACCATACAAAATTCCAACAAGAAGAACTGTCATGCAGAGATAGTCAAGATGCCATTGCATTAAGAACCTGGGTTAATATGCTGTGAAAATACAGGGGAGTATATTGCCTGATAAGCAACATTGCTCAGAATTGATGTATTGCCATTAGACCTCATCAAAAAAATTCTAACTGAAGGGTTTTTTTCCCCCCATCATAAAACAGACAAAACAGACATTTTCACAAAAGAATTGTGTCTGTGGAAAAATTTCTGAGTTTTCATTGAAAACCTACAAAGTTTTCCATTTTCAGTGACTGAAAACTTTCTGTTTTTTCAATGAAAACCTCTTCCTTTCTCTCCTGATAACCAAAACATCTACCTTTCAACTTCTCTATTTTGTTAGTGATAACTGTTTAGTAAGACTTGAGTAATAAACATCTTCCAGAATGCTGATAAACTCCAATGTGTTTATGCTCTGCCAATGGCACTTTTGCTGAGTACACATTCCTTTACCATGTAGTTATGTCTATTTTGCTACAAGTGATTAGATGACTAAGACATAAAACTGTCCACCAAAAGGAAATGGTTACTATGTGATTGCTGCCTGGTCTCATGCAAGAACTGACTTGGTATCTTGGTCTAGTGGGCAGTTGCTAGCACCACAAAAAATCACCTTCACTGATTTATTCTCTCAATAGAGAGAACAAGGAAAAAGAACTTCACCATGTCAGACTTGAGGGATGGTGGCATGTCATTGTGGGGAAGCTTCTCCTCTTGCTGTCATGCTGGATCTGTTCTCCAGATGAAAAGCAATCGGGCTAAGAAGCCAGCAATTTTCATGTGCACAAAACTCACTGGAACAAAAACAAACAAACAAACAAAAAACAACTCTCCACTATGCTTTTACCAAATAACAACAAGTTACTATGGCTGGGCGGAGTAGTTTATGACCCATACTGTTTAAGAATGTAACATCTGGGCATTTTAACTTATTCAAGTGGAAGAACTGCACTTTGTGGTAACTGGGCCAGGAACTCAGCAATTCAGTTAGTGGTGGATTCTCTCTTGCTGTAACCCAATTATTATTCAGAAGCCACGGTCATGCCAGGACTTTGTGGGATTAAGGAACAGACTATGATGAACAGCAGCCACACTGGGCTACTATTTAGGGTAGCTGGATAGGAGACACTACTGGGATAGCAGAATGCTGATATTTATCAATTTACTTGTACAGTTAACAAAATCCAGCCTCTTGAAAGGATTTAGACTGTTGAGTCATGCAAATAGCTAGCCTATGAAACCCAGTGTTCTTATGAGCATTACCCTCCTCCATTCCCTTCGATTCTTTGCTACAATCTAATTTAAGGCAAGAAAATAAGTGTAAACTCTTCAAGATAAGAACGAAGGGTCTGTATGTTTTTTTGTAATATACGGCCTAGCTTAAAGGGGCTTTGATACTGATTGGGGTTTTGGGTACAACCACAATAAAAAAATAGCTAGTAAAGAGTTACTATTGTACACTATAGCTATTTTAATTTCAGTTCTCAGTTATTGGATAAGGGAAAGAAAAAATATTTTAGCCCTCCTCAAATAAATTATAGACTAAACAGCATCAGTTACTGGACAGTTCAGCTATAGTTTGTTTTCTTATTTATACAGAAGCATTGGTGTGCAAGTGAGTTAAAGAAAGGACAACATTTCCTGCTCTCAGAAACTTATAGTCTGAGAAAGTATCCCTAATCAGGAAAGCACTTACTAAAGTCTCATTGAAGCCATGGCTGATTTCTTCCACTACAAATGTGTTCTCGCTTCCTTCAGTTCCGCCATCTTCCTTGCCAAACAATTCTACTTCTAAAACGTATTCCCTGCTGCCGTTTGCCACCTTTGATTTACTCTGCAAGCCTTCCCCCTCTTCCTGCCTCAACTTCTCCCTCGGCCTGTTTCTTCCAAGAGAAAATTGACAAAATACGGTGTGACCTTTCCCCCTCCCCTTGGTTCACCCTGCTTTCCAGCTTCCCCTTCAACAACGGTCAGGATTTTGTCAGGATCCTGGAGTACAGGATCCTCTATTCCCCTCTATTCGGCACTGGAGAGGCCACATCAGGAGTACTGTGTCCAGTTTTGGGGCCCCCACTACAGAAAAGATGTGGACAAATTGGAGAGAGTCCAGCGAAGGGCATCAAAAATGATTAGGGAGCTGGGGCACATGACTTACGAGGAGAGGCTGAGGGAATGGGCTTGTTTAGTCTGCAGAAGAGAAGAATGAGAGGGAATTTGATAGCTGCTTTCAACTACCTGAAGGGGGGTTCCAAAGAGGATGGAGGTAGGCTGTTCTCAGTGGTTGACGATGACAGAACAAGGAGCAATGGTCTCAAGGTGCAATGGGGGAGGTCAAGGTTGGATATTAGGAAAAGCTATTTCACTAGGATGGTGGTGAAGCCTTGAATGGGTTACCTAGGGAGCTGGTGGAATCTTCATCCTTTGAGGTTTTTAAGGCCTGGCTTGGCAAAGCCCTGGCTGGGATGATTTAGTTGGGATTGGTCCTGCTTTGAGCAGAGGGTTGGACTAGATGACCTCCTGAGGTCTCTTCCAACCCTGATCTTCTATGATTCTATAATTCTAACTCTCTCCACCTTCTCCCATCATAGACACAGAAGTTTCTCATCTGGTCTCCTCCTTTAATCCTCCACTTGCCTCAGTGACCCCATCTCATTTTGTGATCTCCCTTCCCCCGCATTTTCATCCCTTCTCTTACTTGTTTCCTTAATCTCTCAATTTCCTCTGGCTCTTTCCCCTCACAATACAAACATGCTTTTGTCTCTCCCATATTAAAAAAACCATTTGATCTCACTTGCCTCTCCAGCTACCACGGCACCTCCCTTTCATCTATCAGCTCTTTGAATGGGTAGTTTATGCTATCTGGAGTTCATGTCCTCCAATTGAATTGTAGACTTTCTCCAGTCCAGCTTCCACCGCACTTGCATTCCACCGAAACTGCTCTTGCCAAAGTCTCTAATGACCTCTTCCTAGCCAAAGATCAGAACCAGTTCTCTTTCCTTATCCTTCTTGACCTGTCAGGTGCCTTCAACATGAATCATACTCTTCCTCTTGAAATCTTGTCCTCCCTTGGCTTTTGTGACTCTGTCCTCTCCTGGTTCTCCTCCTAGGTCTCTAACAGCTCCTTCAGCATTTCCTTCAGAGAAGCCTCCTCCTCCCATGCTCCACCTCCAACTTTCTGTGGGGCTTCCTTAGGGCTCTGTCATTGGTTCCCTTCTCTTCTCATCTGCAAACAGAAATTCAACTATCATCTCTGTGCTGATTACTGAAAATTCTACCTCTCTGCCCCAGACCTGTCTCCTTCTGTCCAAACTAAAATACTCTGCTCTCTCTCTCTCTCTCTGACATCTTCTCATGGATGTCCAGCTATCAGCTCAACCTCAATATGGCTAAAACAGAACTCTTAATCTTCCCCACTACCTCCTTTCTCAATCACAGTGGGCAACACCACGATGCTGCCTGTCACTCAGGCCTATAACCTGGACATCATTTTCAACTCAGATCACTCTAGGTCCTCATATCCAGGCTATGTCTAAATCCCACCAATTCTTTCTGCATAGCATCACTAAGATACGGCCTTTCCTATGAATCCACACAGCTAAAACTCTTGTCAAGGCTTCCATCATCGCTCCTCTCAGTTACTGCAAAATCTGGCCTTGACAAATGCAATCTTGCCTTGCTGATATCCATTCAGAAAGTCGCTACAAAGATCATACTCTTAGCCTGTCACTTTGACCATGTCACCCCTCTCTTTGCATCTCTATACCAAACATAAGCTAACACACTTTCAAAGCTCTTTGTGGCCTATTCCCACCCTACCTTTTTTTCAACTCTCACCTCTGACCCATGGGATCAGTCTTCATCACCCACTTATTACATTTTCAAACAAGCACCTGTGCTTTCTCCCATGCTTTCCCTCACACTTGGGAGGCACTCACTCCCCATAAAGATCTGCAAAGCTATCTCATTGTACCTCTTCACAACCCTTCTTAAAAGTCTCCTTTTCCATGTTGCCTACACAAAATCTTGACAATGGTTAGGCTGCTGGTGTGCTGAGACCACAGCCTATCATGTTGCCTACATTTTGGTCCAAATTTTTGTGGGGGGCACATACAGACACAAATATGCAGGATTGAGTGAGCAAATATGGATGACCTCACCATTTCTGCCCACAAGCCTCTATTTCCTGTCAACTACAATTTTTCTCTTACACTTTGTTCCACATTTTGGGTCTTGAGAATTTATTTGACACCTTCATGCATTACAACTGAGTCAGTTCACCTCATCGGCTGTTCTGGAGATAAGAGTCTATCAATATTTCTATTGCAATCTCAGATTTTCAGGAATTTTCTGCTAGCCATAAAAAGTTACCCCAGCTGGAAACCCGGAATAACAGAGCCATGGAGAGTACGTTCTTTTTAAAACAAAATCTGTCTGGAATCCATTTGGTGATCATTTCTAAATCATTAGCAGCACTGCAGCGTAGACATTTTCTAGATTAGGACTCTTGCTTTGGTACTACGGTAATTCAAAACCTGGCTCTTTTTAAAATGAAAACATCCAGGCAAGCAGACAGCACCTCTGCTGCTTCAGAGAAAAGGAACCAGGAGGCACGCACAGGGTTGACTTTTCATTAATACATCTCACTGGGATTTTTAAGGAGAGTTAGTGAGCTTGAGCATCTCTTACTGATGTGGCAGAGGGCGCTTTTAGAGTCTGTTGTATTCACAATCAGTTAGCTGTTTCGTTGCTGTCACATGAACCCCAAGGGGCAGATCCTCAGCTGATGGAAAGTGTCATAGCTCCACTGATGTAAATGGGGCCATGAGACTTTACACTACGTGACTTGGCTAAAGCGCTTTTACCACCTTCCCATGTAACAGGTATGTCACCTTTGCAAGGCCATTGCTCCAGTGAACCAATGACAGTTAAAGATGCAATTCAGTACAGTCTAGATAAGCAGCGAAAGGACAGGGCCATTTCCTTAGTAACACCAGTATCATACTTTATTGGAGAGCCTACGTGGCCAAGGGACGATGCAAACCTACAGTATGTAGAAGGCCTGTGATCCACCTCAGTGAAAATATCTATGGGGGCAGGGGAATGTTCCAGCCAGGATACTTCCCTTGACAGTTACTGCAGTGACTCTCTGATTCTATGGCAGGCCAATGTGGTGGGAAGGAGATTGAAGAGCTACAGGACACATTCGTGTCCCACCTCAGGGATTTAGCACATTGTCTCCACGCTGGCCTAAAAGACTTGAACATGAATGCCCGGTGTTGTCAATAGACACCAAGACCCAATAAAAAATTAATGGCAAAATCATGATATAAGGAGGCCGAGATTCAGACCAACCCCCAAGGAAAACAATAAAAGAAAGGACCAAAATGTTTCGATTAAACTGAAAAACAAAAGACATTTTTCCAGTGGAACCCAACACTGCAGCCCTGTAACAGTGAACAAGAAGCTGAAACCAAGAAACCAAGTAGAAATAAATGAAACCAACGATTCTATTTTCTTGTTGTCTCATCCAAGAAAGAAAGAGTCAAGTTAACAGCAAAGTGCAATTTAAAAAAAAACTAATCTAATTTCCTTGTCCATTTTTATCATCAGAGAAAAAAATTATTTTTAGGGGTTTTTAATTAATAAATTTATAAGTTGATAGGAAGCCATTAATTCTCTTCATTATAACTAGATAGCGAAAAGACACGTAAGCTCACCCATTATTGGAAGATCACACGACAAGTGCAGAAGGCACAATGTAGAGCCAGAACGTCCAGAGGAATTCTGAATACTACAGTTGGGAAAGTTTAGGTCAAACTTTTACTGTTACATTTGGTGGCATGTTTCTTCTTGGCCTGTTTTAGAGTCAGTTCATATCTGGATGGTCCAGTGGTTAGTTACTAAGCTAAGATTTGGGACACTTAGGCCTTGGCTACACTTACCCGGTAGTTCGGCGGCGAGCGATCGAACTTCTGGGTTCGACTTATCGCGTCTAGTCTGGACGCGATAAGTCGAACCCGGAAGTGCTCGCCGTCGACTGCGGTACTCCAGCTCGGCGAGAGGAGTACCGCGGAGTCGACGGGGGAGCCC